GTTTATAGTCAAATGCAACAATGATTCTACAGTTTATAGTCAAATACAACAATGATTCTACAGTTTATAGTAAAATGCAACAATGATTCTGTAGTTTATGGTCAAATGCAACAATGATTCTACAGTTTATAGTAAAATGCAACAATGATTCTGTATTTTATAGTCAAATGCAACAATGATTCTACAGTTTATAGTGAAATGCAACTATGATCAAACACGTTTTTTTTATCAATTACATTTTAATGAGTACAAAAATGACTGAATGAGTGTTTTACTACAACAATTATTATGGTATGAACGCCTTTTAGAAACTGGCGAAGCATGATTATAATTATTTATATTTGTCATAAGACATAATGTTAGACCTATTATAGTTTTTAACACTACATTATCAATCTAATCCGTTAGGGATTTTTAAGAATTAGAACAATGTATAATAATAGTTTTTCAACCACACTATATTGGTCATATCCATAGCCGACATATACAATGGACTAGATTAAGAATGTCGTGTTAAAATATATACTAGGCCTAAGGTAACGTTTTACTACAAGTTACTTGACCTGTTTTAATCTTAATAGGCTGCTGGCTGAAAGATATTATGTGGCTTGAAATATGATTTCGCTCCACTCATCTGTATGTTACTTTCTCAACTACTTTGTATGGGCCCCCCCAGTGGCACAGCGGTATGTCTGCGGACTTACAACGCTAGAATCCGGGTTTCGATACCCGTGGTGGGCAGAGGCACAGATAGCCCATTGTGTAGCTTTGGTGCTTAATTACAAACAAATAAACAAATAAAATAAATAAATTTGTATGGCTAACGATACGGTCTATCTTATATAAAGAGTTTCCAGTGCTTTCGTTATGGAGGTACAAGGTTGACACAGAAGTTTTTCTTTATATTCCTGTTATATATACCTCTAGCATCTCCTTACTGAGAGACTTACAAGTCAAAGGTCATAAAAATATTGATAAATAACAAAATAATTGAGATTCTTAGAAAGGTTCATTTACTACTTCAATAATTATTGTAATTGGAATTGAACAACTTTTAAGATTTATCTCAGCGTAACATACGAATTTTACTTTTATACAAACTCTTGTATTTTTTTCTTTCTCTTTGGGCTATCTGTGCTCTGTCCACCAAGGGTATCGAAACCCGGATTCTAGCGTTGTAAGTCCGCAGACATACCGATGTGCCACCGCATGGCCAGGTGGTTAGGGTGCTCGGCTCGCAATCTGCGGGTCACGGGTTCGAATCCCCGTCACACCAAACATGCTCACCCTTTCAGCCGTGGGGGCGTTATAATGTGACGCTTAATCCCACTATTTGTTGGTAAATGAGTAGCCCCAAGAGTTGGCGGTGGGTGGTCATGACTAGCTGCCTCTCCTCTAGTCTTACACTGCTAAATTAGGGACGGCTAGCGCAGATAGTCCTCGTGTAGCTTTGCACGAAATTCAAAAACAAACCAAACTCTTCAACAAACAATACCTAGGATTTTTGAGAAGTTTTTATTCATCCTAAGCATACATGGATAATACGTTTACTGTAAATGTTCTAAATGCTTATGGATACTTATGCCTCAAAACAGGTTTCTTCAATATTTTTCATTCATTTTACGCTGTACTAATAATATCTTGACTGTAGCTAGTAAGCATTACAAATAAATGAATCTTGAACATCAGAAATTGTGTCGGTTTGCACGATAGGGATAGATATTTTTGCGTTTTGAAACTTGTGTCCCAACTTTTATTGAATAAATATTAGTGTTACATAACTGACATCTAGTCATCGTAGCGTGCATATACGTGATATCTGGAATGTAGCTGATCAGTATGTCAAAACACAAGAACACTACTTAAGCCATTTCACAACATAACAATAAGATTTTGTTTTTGAAACTAACGTTTAGGCCTATCGATTAGTTGATGGATTGAGGTAAAACATTTTCTGGAACACAATATGCGTACAAAAGGTTTCCCAAAGCTTAGCATCCCATTTTGTTTTTCAGCATTGAAAGAAAACGTACATATAACATACACAATCATGGCGTATTCCAGTAATGTGACCCTCCCCCTGGTTTTAGCAAAGAAGGTGACGTTTGTAGTTGCTTAATTCATATTTCGTCTATTACTAGTGAAGAACACCAGAAATGAAAACACCAAAAGACTGTAGTCACTCAAAGATAAGAGTTGTTGAAATAGCTGTGTAATAAATAATCTCGACTTTTAAGGGCATGATCAATCCTCTTGATCGTCTTTATTAACTAGCTTGTCTGAGTTCAGGTGTGGTTGGTTGCTTGTGAAGGTGTAAGAAAGTGGGAAAGACCATGGAGCTAAAGACATTCACTGATCAGATGACAGCCAAGCAAACAACTACTACAACTGACACGGGCATGACTCTCAATAATGACAGAACATTATTTGCAAGAGTTCTCAGATTCCCAGGGACCGACTTCATAACCACTTTCTGTTTGTTGTAGTTTTCATGCTATAACTTTTAATACCGTATGCGTACCTTCACGAAATTGTGCAGATTATCAGTAAACATTACAAGGCTTTCGTAAGCAAAATATCAGATATCTTTTATTAAGTTTTAAGATTTATTAACTAATGTATTTCTCATTCATTTTTTTCTTTGCAAATGTTGACAATCCAACATACAAAGTAATTTTGATTTTAAGATTAAAAATACTTTTATGCATAAAAAAAATTTAAATTTCATATGCGAAATCCTTATAACCTCCAGATAGTTATCAAACGTTGTTTTTAGAAAAAAATTTATATTTTATCTGTTATTTTCACTATTGTATATTGGTCGATTTGACCGACCTTGTGACCACCGTTTGTAACTACAAATTATAAAACGAAAACACAAATTTTTAATCTAAATAGGTTAAAACTTAAATTTCATAACATTATACATCTACATATATTATTCTTTATTTTATTGCCTTTTAAGCCGCGCCTGACTCAAATACAAGAGTTACAATTACGTGGCGCACGTCACATAAGGGACGCTTAAAATTGCAAGTTGTACTGTCGTGACGTAATTAAAACGTGCGCATGCTATGAATCATGAGAAGAATTATGCACTCTGTACGCTAGAACATGGCATGACATATGAATTTCGAAAACAAGAAATAAAAATATTTGTTACTTTTAATTTTGGTTTTATTTACTCTTGAAACAGAACACTTTCGGGGACCCTGCGATAGTACATCTAGTATTTTTACTACGTGATAACTCAAACAGTTGAAAATAGGTGAGTTTTCCTTATTTCATAAACCAGCATACATATTCACATTCAGGTCGCTTTCTGTTCATAAATGTACTAGCTACAACTGAGACATTAACCACATGTACTAAGATTGTTATATATTTGGTAGAAATCAGTCTTAAAACGTGTACTTAATAGAAGCTGAAATAACAATAAATTCTTCATTTTTATTTTCTAAACTTGCATATATATATATATATATATATATGTTGATGGTTAAGACTCGCTCAATTTAAAAACGTAAAAGCTGCAGCCTAAATATTATTTGTACTTACTAAACTCTCTAAATATTATGTAATGGCTAGCTTTGAGGCACGTGCGTTTAAGGGATATTAAGATACAAGACTACCAAATCAGTAAAAGTTATCTTGCTATGTTAGGAAACGATATCATTACTCAAACTTCACTCATTTCTAGCTACTATTATTTCTATAAGTTAATAAGATCAAAATCTTTGTATAAACTTGTTTTGAATTATGCTTGTTGAAAAGATGATGAAATACAAGAGTTTCAAAATAATAAAAATTGTACCATTATATTATGATAAACCGTAAAAGTTGTAGGTCTCTACTTACGAGAAGTATTTGATAAAAAAACAAAACAATTATCGCTAAATAAAAACGCTATGTAGGGCTGGCTATTGAACTCGAAAAAAGGCAACCAAACGAGATAGGGATGGCAATGGACATATCCCTTGATCTGCTAATGATCATGTAGCAGACTAAGCTGTCTCAACTTTACATTACTAGATTCCCAACTTTGTAAATCGAAGGCTTGGTGTGTTTGAATAGAACCTCAGCTTTCATCATTATACTTTTCCTTTAGTTAACTTTAGAATACTAGTTTTTATGACTATTTTACATTAGAGTAACATTTTACGATTGGAAGTACTGGTTCTATTTCTTTCGTCAGCGAGGAAGCCAGTAAGTTAGGATTTTGTTATCAATGTAAAGTCGAAACAGCTTAGTGTGCTATGTGATTATGAGCCGGATCAAGTGACATGTTCACTTCCATCCCTATCTTGTTTGGTTCTTTTTATCAAGTTCAGTAATCAGCCCTAGATAGCTTTCTTATTTAGCGATATGTTTTTTCCCTAATACTTGTTTGTTTACTTTTTATAAGATGTTGTAAGTGGGTTACTAGGTTATAGAGTGTATTATAAAGCTTTATAAATTTTGTACAGTATTATAGTAATATAATAGGTAGTCAAAGATCGTGAAGACTGCTTTGTTCTATGACATGATGATAAAATTATAGTTACTACTAGAACTAGGTAGGCTCTAGGCCTGTTGAAGAAAGATGATGATGAACAAAATAAGAAATCTAGGTTTTGGCTATTTGCCAGTTTTCGACTTTGGGTCGCTCTGGATAGCTGATAAGAGGCATATACACCGGAGATAGAGTGACTATGTCAGGTAGCTCTTCACATCTAGTTTATAGGGACTAGTAAATAAAATAAAATACAGATGGCATTTCTATTGTTTTAATACGGGCTTCCGTGCCATCCATACATAGAGAGTACTACCCTACTCTCCGATAACTAAAATATTCAACACATCTTAATAATAACCATAACATTTTAGTTTATTTCAATGTCACTGTGGTCCCTATGTCTCTTGGTTAAATATATCTAAAATATAGGGCACTGAATATTGTGGAAAATGCCAATTTTTTTTCCACTCTCTGCTACCATTCAGCCTCTGTACAAAAATGGTGCAGGATTTTAGGTGGGAAACTTGTTACTTAAGTTAGATCAGGTAATAAACCATAAAAAAACATCTGAGAAAAAGTAAGCCTTGATGAATGTAAAGAAATTAAAAGACACAGGCTTTAACCAATTGATTATAACAAGATCTCATGTTGATTCCCACTAAACTTTTCATTCGAAACCTGAACAAATACTGTTTCGTGAAATTAATAGCATTAATATTAATACGATATTTGTTGTACATAACTGTTAGGGTTAACACTGTGCTGAAGAAGCTTCGATTTTTAGTGTTAGCTCCCCAGTGACATGTCTGCGGACTTCTAATGCTAAAAAACGGGTTTTGAAACCAGTAGTGGGCACGGCACAGATAGCCCATTGTGCAGCCTTGTGCTTAACCGTAAACAAACAAATTTAATGTTAAACTAGTTAAAAGTTCATATGCTGATATAAGAAACGAAAGCTTACCAAGTATTTTGGAGATGTTGGAATTGTGCATGTCTGGACAAGCCTTAAGAATTTTTCTTCTTTCATCTTTGGCCCACACCATGAATGCGTTCATAGGACGTTTGATATGTGGCCTTCCTTCACCGTCCTTCTTACTCTGACGAATGATTTTTGCTCCAAGCAATTTACCTAAAGAAAGGGATGTAAAGATCCGGTGTAAGAATCTTGGGTGTAATTAGTGAAATATTTTCCATCTTATACTTCTTAATTCTATATATTTCTGTTACACGTGTTCCTAATGAGTGTATTATAACGATACTTTTCTTCACATTCCAAAAAAAAGCAATCTTCTATTTCAAACATTTTGTTTTAGGTGGGCAATGCAACACGAGCTCCATCTAGTGGTCAACTCTGAAACACTATAGTGTCGGGCTAATTATATACTATAATAAATGAATATAATTGTGGCAGATGTTTATTACATCATTTTACGTGTAGAAGTGGTATTATAATCTATGTATTAATGCATGTGCTACGGCAATAACGAAACTTACTTATCCACCAAATTTTTCATGGATCCGCTTAGTTTTATTACAAGGTATCGAAAATATATATATATATAGGTCAGACAAAAAAAAATTAAACAAAATTATAATCAATATCGCAGTTAACGTCAGTAACTTCTACCAGGTGGATCTTACAGAGAAAATGAGTGATTTAGTTTCAGTCTTTTTGGTAGATTCTTTACACTGAGTTTTTTAACACGCTAAAATATAAATTAACCCAATAACGTGCCACGTGTAGGCTTAACCGTCGGTGAATAATATAAAAACAAACCGATGATTTATCTTCGTATAAAATAAAGATTACTTTTAAATAAAAGGTATACTTTCTTTAGAAATAAACCATGTTTATCCAAATGCTTTACTTTCCGTTCCTAGACTTATCTTTTATTAGTCAGTAAGTGTACGTGTGCCTGGTGTTATTAATCCGTCAATAAGATGAGATTTTGTTTGCAAACCTGTCGCAAATTAAAACTTTTTTTTTTAAGGTGGCTCAGCGTTAAGCTTGGAAAATTATAGTTATAAAACCCGGGGCTCGATCCATAAGGTGGGAACAGAGCAGAAATCCCATTGTATAGCTCTGTCTTAAAACAAATAATCCCATTGTATAGCTCTGTCTTAAACAAATAAACTTGCGGGACGCGGTCCATTTGTGATAAATGAGTTTTCCTTGGAGATTTTTATTCAGTTCACTTGGATCAAAATATCCAGAATTTCTTTATACTAATATGTAACAGCACCCTTACCTTTCTTGTCTTCTTCATCGGTGTCTAAGTAACAGCACCCTTACCTTTCTTGTCTTCTTCATTGGTGTCTAAGTAACAGCACCATTACCTTTCTTGTCTTCTTCATTGGTGTCTAAGTAACAGCACTCTTACCTTTCTTGTCTTCTTCAGTGGTGTCTAAGTAACAGCACCCTTACCTTTCTTGTCTTCTTCATCGGTGTCTAAGTAACAGCACCCTTACCTTTCTTGTCTTCTTCATGGTGTCTAAGTAACAGCACCCTTACCTTTCTTGTCTTCTTCATCGGTGTCTAAGTAACAGCACCCTTACCTTTCTTGTCTTCTTCAGTGGTGTCTAAGTAACAGCACCCTTACCTTTCTTGTCTTCTTCAGTGATGTCTCTTCTGGTATTACTAGATGTCGAGGAAAACGTGTCACTATTCTGTGGTGCCAGATACATGTGAAGTGGAAAGTGCTTTCCATCAGCTCCCAGTGGAAAGCCAGTAGGGGAGACTTGTCCCATGCCAAGTGACGAGGCGGCTAACGAGGTAGGTATCCCATCCTTTCCCATCACTCCCCCACCAAGCAGACTACCTTTTGGAACAGAAGGGTTAGTTAGAACCTCTTTTCTCTGGTAATTTTCACATGAACATAAATACTGGTGCTTAGAAATTCGATCGTAATCTTAAAACTTACTGGAAAACAAGATTACACATTTTGTATGCTTTAAAGTATTCACACTGATGAAACAATCACTAGCAAGTGACTTAAAGCATTAATACAAAGACTATAATTCCACCAAGGTTCGAACCATTATTTAGCGCTGATTAAATTGGTTTGGTTTGAATTTCGCGCAAAGCTACACGAGGGCTATCTGCGCTAGACATCCCCAAATTAGCAGTGATAGACTATAGGGAGGGAAGGCAGCTAGTCAACACCACCAGTTTTTAGGCTACTCTTCTACCAGCGAATAGTGGAATTGACCGTTATATTATAACGCCTACACAGCTGAAAGGGCGAGCGTGTTCGGTGTGACGTGGATTCGCATAGATGGCGAGTACTACTTGTTTGTTGGCCTTCTTTTAGTCAGTAGTTCTAAATAAGGAATGGTCATGTCTGAATGTTATGTGTCACATGGTACACGTAAGGTGTTGTTCATTTCGAAAATATCAAAGGCCTTTGGTTCAAAATTAATAATACGAAAATAACTGTATTTTGTCTTTTGTGATTTATATAATTTAATGATATACATATTTTTACAACATATACAAAACTCAGCGCTCTTAATTCTTCCTTTGACGATATGAGAAACTCCCAGCTTGTAAATAATAAAATCAAGGCCACCATGTGGCAGCACTGATTTGATGGTAGTCCGAGAGGTTGTGAATTTCTCAGGTTAATTGATATGTGCTCACTTCACTGCTATTATTTCAGATAAATAAGAAATATTTCTAATTCAATGAGATTCTCGTTGAGAAAACAATCAGAACAAACGTATAAGAACAAAATACGATGTAGGAAGGTTTCATGTAGAATGCTCTGACTGTTTTCCATTTTTGTGACAAAATTAGGGCACCGTCAGGCGTAAAGACCTTGAGGATATCGTGGGGATCCTCCCCTAGAATATTTATTTTTAAATGAGCCACTCAGAGATAATCTGCCTATATTGTTAAAATTGAATTTTTCCGTGACAAATTACACAACTAAATTTTAAGACAGATAGAATTCGACATATAGAGATATTTGGAATAGCCAAAATTTGATTTCATAGTCATAACGTCATTTGCAAAACATAACAAAAAACAAACGAACTACCTAATAAAACGTAAAAAAGGAACACAATCTACATAAAATTATTCTACTTCAACAAATACATTCTTACCAGGATGACCAACAATGCCACCTAGTGGCATATGTGCCGCATTTCTCAAGTGTGGAGGAAGCATATAATGACTTGTTCCCTGCATAAAAGACGAGGCTGCAGCCTAGAAAACAAAACAACAGAAGCAATATATTATGCACTCGTTAATTTTTGTTGTAAATATTTAAAAACACTACTCAAAAAAAATTAAAGCAGACAGTTATTGATACTTACATAAGCAATTCCAACAACAAAAAAGAGAAACTATCAAGTATTTCTTACTATGCATTACATACAGAAAACTTTAACATTTCATTGCAAACTTGAGCGTTTAATAATATTCTGGCCCCCTGGTGGATCAGCAGCAAGTCTGAAGCTTATACTGCTAAAAGCTAAATGCATTTCCGTGGGATCCCCGAAAGTGTTCCGTTTCAAGAGTAAATAAAACCAAAATTAAGAGTAACAAATATTTTTATTTCTTGCTTTTGAAGTTCATACGTCATGCCGTGTTGTAGCCTACAGAGTGTATAATTCTTCTCGTGATTCATGGCACGCGCACGTTTTACTGATATCACGACAGTACAAATTGCAATGTTAAACGTCCCTTATATGACGCCATTTTAGTGTCTACTGACTGACAGACAGACAGCACACTACTGTATAGTGGTGCGAGGTTATTCACGCAGAGTTGAACGCATTCAGAAAAATCGTTTTGCTTTAACCCTCAAAAATTTTCTGGAAAATGTTAAATAAACAAAATCTGCGTATTTCGTTTTCTAAAATTCTCATTCAAACAAAAACCTAAGAAATTTGAGATTATGTCGAGTGCTGAAATATCATTTTCTTCCTTTAATTTTGTTAATAACAGTAGACTGTGATATTTCTAATCTGATATTAGGGATAACACTCTTACCGAATATACTTCAGGTGATACTGCTCCTAGCAAACTTGCCATACTGGTGTTGGTTGGTATTGGAGAACTGAATGATGGAGATGAGGAGCATTTGCTAGTCTGGTTTGGAGACCGTCGTTTGGAAAGGCTTGGAGATTGTCCTCTTTCCTTCTCTTCTTGCTTAATGTTAAGGTGAGGAGTTGGGCTGGAGCTGGCACTGGAGAATAGATTTAAAAAAATTGGTTATATTTTCTGGATAAAAGTAAAAATTGGCGGTCACAAATCTGTATTTTAGATGTTCATCAGAAGGATGAGGAGCAGGTGAGTTCAGATATGCAATTATGGTGGTAATTGATAATTAACGAAATGAGATAATTTACAATTCACAAAGAAACATAGTTTAAACTAGAACAAAAATGTTTAACTAAGTATGAAAAAGAAAGTATGATAAGACAAACCATAAAAAGAAAAAATCTACCTGCTTGGATTACTGCCACAAGATTTAGGTTTACTAAGGTTTAGCGGACCATCATTTTCTGGGATTGAGTCTGAGGATTTTGTTGCGGGTTGAACCGAGTTGTTGGTGGAGGAGCTACACATTGGAACGACAGGTGGCGCACCAGACACCCAAGGCTGAAGTGGAGATAGGAATGACTGTGGAAAAAAAAAATAAAAAAAATCTGGTTAGAATTTGGTATGTTTGTTTCTGATATTCACGCAAAGCATCCATGATATTGAACTGGCAGACTGACATCACCCACCGCCAACTTTGGAGCTGTTCACACCTAATAGTATATGATGTGACCGTCACTCTTATACCCACGGCCTCATAGTGTGGTTCGTGATTTTGAAGCAACAGGACGCGAACCGCGAGTCCTCGGATTCAATGTGCCTCACGTTAATTCACATAGAATAACAAATGTTGAGTGTTACGCCAAGCCGATGTTGTAGGCTATGCTTTTTAAAGCTTCTCTTCTCAATTATCAAATTTTCGTCTTATATATTTGGTTAGTATGATGCTGAAAATTAATTTACCTGGAAACCTAACATAGATGTACAGAATGAAGCTTCCCAAACATCGAATTCAAACAAAGAAACCGAAAAAGGAAACCGCAAACGCGTAAGCTGTCTCCTACTGTCAAGACGTACTTTACCTTCGTGAATATTGTGTATCTCAAAGCAAGTCAATTGAATAATGTACATTTACGATGCAAACGGGACGTCAGTGTTCTTAATATTTCATAAAACTACTTTCGATTGTCCCCCCCCCCGTCCACTTGAAGAAGATGAAAGATTGAAGTGTCTTCGAGTGCCTGGCTCTGGTTTAATTTTACGCGGGTTTGTGGCACTATCACTGGATGTAGTGCAATTATCAGAGTAGCGTATCTAATCTGTATTTGGAATATTAGGTGGGAGTTCTCTAAGGTTCCACGGTGGCCTTTCAGAGGTTACTCTGGAACTCAGACGCACGTGATAAGGGAGCTTAATGTTACTGTCTTGCTCATAAAATATATTCCCGCCTCTTTTTTTAACTAGGAAGATATAAGCAAAAGGGAAAGCCATGGATTAACGTGACATAACAGCTAAAAGCAGATGTTAGATTCATCTACAAATGTACATTGTTAAACAAAACCAAAACTTTCTTGCGTGTAATCTAATCGTCTATAATTCACATGGTGTTCTACGTATCTTTATTTTTATGCCAATTTCTTATAGTATTGCGAAGTTTTAGCAAATTGGTTACGTTATGGTATTTTTTATTACTTCTTATAAATTTCTATTTAGCATTGTTACATTATTACTCATCTCCAGAATCATGTAAATTACCCATGAAAACAAGGACATTAGGCCTAGTTTGTCATGTTAAAAATGCTACCTTAAACCTTCTCCTAATCAATTCTAAAATACAATAACAGCAACCTTTAAAGTCTTCATTACGTGTTTCGTACATGATGACGACTCGATACTATGGGTAAGAAAGTTATAATTATTAAAATGAGAACGTGCCTACTGTAAGAGTTGCTGTTATTGTATTTTAGAATTTGTAATTCAGTTCAGAAGGTTCCTAACTAAACATTAACGTTTCCCCATTAATAACAATAAGAATAAAACAGGCAACATTTAATCATCAATAAGCTGCATGAATTGATATTTCATATTATTTTCTAAATATTTGCTTACTTTTATATGTTTTCCCTTCCAGATTTAGCTGACAAGAACACAGGCCTGTTGACTTTAATCATACAGTTTAAATACATATAATTCAAAAAATTACAGCAGTGATTCTTTAACTTAATATAAATTTTAAGTTTTGCTAGAGGGAGCCACTGTTGTTAAAAAAGTCCACATTTGTATGATTGGAGGGATATACTTTCACTGGTTAACTAAACACCGCAGTTTATCATTAAGCTTTCCTAGGTAAAGTTTAATTATTGTTTTTTGTTAAAATAAGTAGTGGAAATCATGAAATTCATCTCACGTTTCAATCCAATTAGCTACTTATTAGGCCTAATCAGAGTCTAGGACTGATTCGTTTATTGACGTTTTTAATTTGATTAATAGACAAATATTTTTAAGCATATACTGTTTTGCATAAATCTATACTTTATATATATCCTGCTCTTATGATGATCTGTGATTGTTCAGTCAATTAAAGCATCATCACCAACTATAATATAACTTTTTAAACGTAGAGCTTACCCCTCTGATAAATATCTGAATAATTCTGAGTAGTTATGGCCAGAAGATCCTAAGAGTAAAAATATGATCGAAAGTTTGCTTAGTTGTAAATTGTTGTAATCTTTTTCGTCGTTCAGTGGCTTCATTTTTCTTTCACATCTTGGTATCGTTTGTGCAAGAGGGTTTCAATCCAGGTTTAATATTCAGAATTTTATATTCTTTTTGGCGGGTATTTGTAAAGTGAAACTATCGTGGTGTATGTCATTTATCACAAGTAGTTATAGAAAATGACTATAGAGGGCTCAATTGTGTTCCTCTAATTTTGAGGGCTTTATTTAACGAAAATCGACTTGATACATCGTGAAATAATTACGAATGTTACTTAAACAATTCGTGTGTATTTCACTTCTGTAATTTTTTTTGTTTGTCAATATACTCTTCGGTAGCTATTCAAGAAAAATAACACTGCATAGTTAAATTTGTGATATTACAGTTTTATGTTAGCCATAGCAGGATATACTACTAGATGTGCTACCGAAGACTTTCTGAAAGTGTTCTGTTTCAAGAATAAATAAAACCAAAATTAAGAGTAAAAATATTTTTATTTCTTGCTTTTGAAGTTCATATGTCATACCGTGTTGTAGCCTACAGAGTGCATAATTTCTACTCGTGATTTATGGCATGTGCACGTTTTACTGACGTCACGACAGTAGAAATTGCAACGTTAAATGTCCCTTATGTGACGTCATTTTAGTGTCTACCGACTTACAGACAACACACTACTGTTTAGTGGTGTGAATGGTTAAAACAGGTCACCCCTTCAGCCCTCTTTCGGGGGAAACTATATACATGCTTTGTTAAATGCTTCGCGACTTTCATCCTATTGTACAAAGTATACTAAAATCAATATCCACATGTTTGTACAGCTAAGAAGCTTGTGGTCACTTTTGCAGTGAAGTTTTGTTAGTAAGGTTACTTGGTAGGAGGATTTAATTTTATAAATTCTTTTTTTCTATTGTAAACCATGACGAGTAAAAAGAACCAAGTCAAATACGACTATTAACACCATAGATGTAAACATTTACATTAAGCAGGATTTAAATATAAAACAAAAATACATGTCTCTATGAACAACAATGGCATAATACGATTTTTTTTTCAGCTTGTTTGTCTAAGCAGAAAGTTAAACAATGGATTATCTGTGCTGTGTTCCCGAATTTTGATTTATAAGCTCAGCTGCTTACTGCTCAGCTACTGAAAGACCTTTATACTGCATACATATAAGTGAGAATAGGGTAATTTTACTATTGATATGTTTTACTCTCCTTTTTTATATATTGTTTTTGATTAAATTTTTCTGTTTTTTTGTGTGTGTGTGTGCAAAACGACATAATGGATTATATGTCCACTGCAGGGAATCGAACTCCGATTTTTAGCGTTGCACCTCCGGAAACTTACTTCTGACTCTCCGGGAGACTTGTAATTAAATGACTTGCAGTCTATAAAGCGATGTTCTTAAGCAAGTCATGATATCCGTGTGTTGAATACACAAGACTGTTTAGTTTAAGTTATTATTTAGTGATTTAATATTTAATGATTATATAGTTTTTATAACAAGAGTGTGTAAAAGTTAATCATTTTAAAAGCGATAGTTATGATAAGTTTCGTTATGTAACTCTGTACGAGTAGAGTCGTACGTTGTGTGTGTAGTTTAATTGTTATAGTCGGCTTTTGGAATATTGTTGACGTCATCTTACTCGAAGCTTCTAAGTTTTTCCCGTTATGTTTAATATTGTTGTTACTAGTGTGCGATATATATTTCTAGATTTCACTTTCGCGTGTTATAAATACGTGCAGATACAGAGAGGAAAACTTAGGTTAGTGAAAGCAAAATTAAGGTAGACTGCGTGATTGTCTGTTTAGGCGATACAGGCGATTTCTAAAGTGAATTTCACAGCTAGTGTTGTAATAACAATGGCTAGAGGAGAATAATTTGTCTTGTCAAAGGGTTTTCTAAAGTAATTGAACCCGCCTTTGTGGACTTTGATGAAAAAGAAATAATTATTTAAAGCTCTGGATACAACTGTGATAACCGATTGTGTAACGAATTTATATATATACATTGACTGACAGTTGTTTGCTCATCATTGAATTTTATCGCCAATAAGTCACAGACACCTACTGTAAAGAATCCGGCCTCATAAAACTGACATTTGGCGAGCTAGCCAGCATTATACAGAGATAAACGGCGGTAGAAATAGACGTGAACGACAGCGGAAGTAGGCCTATATACGCAGAATTGTAATGGTGGCGAAAAAAGTGTAGAGATTACAATCATGCTATGCAACCATGTCGTCTGACTAGGGCTAAAAGATGGTGATCTACGAGTGTTTTGTTAAATAACAACAAGACCTAAAGAGAAAAGGAGAGTCAACAGAGAGGAGAGGATAGGAATACAAATAGAGAGAGAGAAGAAAATGAGAGACAAAAGAGAGACTAGAAGTAGAGAGAGTGAATAAGAGAACAAATTGAGAAAGAAGAAAAGGAGAGAGACTGGAAATAGAGAGAATAAGAGCACAAATTGAGATTGCCAAGCTCATCCAACAGAAAGAGGAAGGACCCAAGAAAGACAATGGGGTCAGGACCAGTCGACCCAAGCTGCCCAAATTTGAAGAAAACAAAGACGACATAGATGCTTTCTTGGATAGATATGAACCATTTGCCCAAAGTCAGAACTGGAACAAAAGTGATTGATCAGTCTGTCTCAGCCCCTTCTCAAATGAAAATGCCTACAAGTGTATGGAGGCATGACGTCAGAAGATGCCATAGATTATGACAAGTTAAAAGTGGCCTCCCTGAAATGCTGTGAACTTACCGAGGAAAGTTTCTGCCTTACACTGGAGAAACTGTATTTCAGTTTGTGACACGTCTACAGTGATACTTCACAAGGTGGACTGACATATGGCCAGGTGTATGAAAATAGTTTTGAGAGACTGGGAGATCCACTAACATGTGACCAGTTCATGATCAGGTGCTCCACTGACATGTCACTGTTCCAAAAGGAGAGAGCACTAAAAGACGTGGATGAGATGATCAAACTGGCAGAACAGTATATGGAAGCCCATGGTTTGTTTGTTTGTTTTGAATTTCGCGCAAAGCTACACGAGGGCTATCTGCGCTAGCCGTCCCTAATTTAACAGTGTAAGACTAGAGGGAAGGCAGCTAGTCATCACCACCCACCGCCAACTCTTGGGCTACTCTTTTACAAACGAATAGTGGGATTGACCATCACATTATAACGCCCCCACGGCTGAAAGGGCGAGCATGTTTGGTGTGACGGGGATTCGAACCCGCGACCCTCGGATTGCGAGTCGAGCGCCCTAATCACCTGGCCATGCCGGGCCAAAGCCGATAAAGGGAGTATAACTGGAAAGTACAAGAATAACTGGTTGAAACCAGGGGTGGCTGACCAGAAACAAGATACCACCAAAGGTGACAAAAACTTAATGGACAAAAGGAAGAAGAGATGTCAATGAGTGCAAGTCTATCAACAAGCAGCATCTGAAATTTCAACATAAAATCACCATGGATACTGCTGCCAGAAGAAACAGAATGGAGACAATCTGTCAAATTCACCACAAGAAGGAAGTGCTATAACCATGATTAAACTGTGCATGACTGATGGTCAACTCAAGTTAGGAAATGGATCAACAATGCCAGTAATGATCGGAGCATGTGACAGACATCGAGAAGTGCCAACAAATCACATGCCAATAGGTGAAAGTTATGTCAAGAACAAGAAAGTGAAAGTCCTATGAGACACTGGGTGCAGTAGTGCAGCAGTGAGAACCTGTCTAGTATCTGATGACCAGATGAAGGGCAAGGTACGTCTGTGTGTGCTGATTGATGCGACAGTGAGAAAGTTACCCATAGCAAGAATAAAAGTGGACACTCCATACAACTTGAGATCATGAGTATGAAGGCACCAATCTACGATTTTGTGATAGGAAACACAGCAGGTAGTAGCAGTTTGAAAGAGCCACACAGAAAGGATACTGATGGGGCATGTGCAGTCACCATTAGAGCTTAAGAAAAGAAAAACATGCAAGACATTAAGCTCCTGCAAGTCTCGAAAGGTGAATGTAGGCCTATGGGAACTGAAGGAAGTGCAGAAGAAAGACCCTTGACTGCACAAACTTTGGGACAGCGCCCGAGAAAAAGTGGAGCACAAGACAAAGGGGAAAGAGACGTACAAACTAGAGAGCCAGAAAGGAGTGCTGTACTGGATCTATCAAAGCAGTTCTATTGGGGAAACTAAACACATCAAAGGCTGTAAGATGCAGTTATATGACAAGAAGACCAAGGATCGACATTTCAAGATTAGACAGAAGGTGTTAGTTCTGCTACCCACAGACAACAAACTCACTTTGCAGTGAAAAGGACCTTTTGAAGTACAGGAAGTGGTCAACAGAATGGACTATAAGTGAAAGTGGACGAAAAGACCAAGATATACCATGCCAATCTGTTGAAGAGGTACTTTGAGAAGGAAGAAGACATAAAGGGTAGAGCTATTGAGGCACAGATGGACATGGCAGGTGTAGCTGTCATAGATGCAGAACCAGACGACAGTTACTTTGTCATAGAAGATGAGGACCTACTAGACCCAAGACCGTTGGGTGGAGATGAGACATACAAAGACGTCAACATCAGTGAAGAACTGACTGACAAGCAGAAGAAAGAGGTACAAGATCTAATATGTCAGTATACGGATATATCAGGAAAGATAAGCCTCAGGTAACACAAGATCAAGGTGAAGCACTACAAAGAGCGAGACCAACAAGGGAACTGCATATGTTGGTACAGAATATATGATGAGACTTTGTGTATGAGCTGAGAACAGTCTTTGTATATGTATTATAAAATATATTGTAAATATTTTTCTTGAAGAGAAGCTTATTGTTGGATATACGAGAATGTTTAGTCTAAGAGTTATTGTTTAGTTCATTTGGTGATTTAATATTTAATCGTTATTTAGTTTTCATAACAAGGGTGTTACAAGTTAATTATTTTTAAAGCGATAGTTATGACAAGTTTTGTTACGTAACTGTACAAGTCGTACATTGTGTATGCAGTTTAATTGCTGTACTAGGCATTTGTAATATTGTTGAAACTTACTCGAAAGTTCTAAGTCTTTCTAGTTATGTTTAGTATTGTTGTTACTAGAGGGCTAGATATTTCTAGATTTTTCTGTTACGTGTTATATATACGTGCAGATACAGAGAGGAGGAAGTTAAGTTAGTGAAAGTGAAGTTATACTGCGTGATGGTCAATTTGGCTGTAACGGGCGATTTCTAAAGAAAAAGTATCACAGCTTGTATTGTAACAACAGAGGTATAGAAGAATAATTTGTCTTGTCAAAGGGTTTTCTAAAGTAATTGAACCCGCCTATGTGAACTTTCACGAAAGGGAGAAAATTATTTAAAGCTCTGGATACAACTGTGGTAACCCATTAGGTAACTTAAGTGAGCTTATCACTGATTGCATTGTGATAACAGAGGAGAGAATAAATAATTTGTCTTGTCAATTCGGGTCTAAAATAATCGAACCAGCCTGTGTGTACTTTTGATGAAAAAGTGAATTATTTAAAGCTCTAGATTCAACTGTGAGAATTTTTTTTTTTCAGATATTTGACTTGTTTTAATATATTATTTTAAAACAAGTGGACTGTGTACTGTTTGTTCATCGTTGAAATTTATCGCCAACAAGCCACAGACGCCTACTATAAAGAATCTGGCCCCGTAAAACTGACACCGTAAAAAAGAAAAACAACAACAACAATAAATGTGTATTATTGATTATTAAAAATTTAAACACCAAGACATTATATTGGAACCTACCGTAAGTGGTCTATCTCCTAAGGGTTCAGGGGCCATATTTGTTGTTTTGTTTGGTGACAATTGCCGCGTGGTGGAGCTGAGTGTTTGTGGCGGCAGAGACATGGGGGAAATTCCAGTTGTCGTGGTGTCCAAATCCCCTATCCCACCGGGATGAGGTACTCCCGCACCACTAGAAAAGCCTCCATCAAAGACAGGAAGAAACATGAGACCTTGAGGTGTAACCCCTGCCGCTATTCCGGGCATTCCAGGTAAGGATTTGGTTGCTGCAGCAGCCATATACTGATCATTGAGTCGAATCTGAAAAGAACAAAAAACGAACGTAAGTGAACTACAATAAGAAAGCAACTCTAAAATGAACAGTAAATGAATGTACAAAACCTTCATAAGGACAAAGGAAGTTCTTCATTGATATAAATTAAACAAATTTAAAAGGTCGAGCACAGCCCAGTAATTAGAGTGTCAAGCTGAATCTTCCGATCCAAGGTTCTAGCAGAGATGTCCCGCTATTCAGTTAGGAATTAATTTGTAGGCGGCTGGTGCTATTGATTGTTTACTCCTACTCTGGTTAGCAGTTTCAAATGAGGAACGACTTTGTCTGAACTTGTGGTCTCTGACCTAGCTGTTTATCCGTTGTTACGTGCCTCTTAGGTTGAAAATATTAACAACAAGTAAAAGATGTATTAAACACAAACAAACAAGAAGTACTGGGATTGTCATCCATCTTCACCACTACAGATGTATGGCAAAATAACAGAAACATAACGTCCAAAAACCGCATCAATTTTCAAAACCTTTCGCAATACTGTACATACACTAATTTTTCTTAGGGTTAGAACGTTCTTTCATGAACGAATATAACCACCGGAACTTGTGCCAGTCGATAAACTATACATATAAAAAAGTAACTTACTAAACTTACACCAGTCTCCACACTTTGGAGCAGTGGATAAACAATAAGGTTGATGGTCAATTCTCACTGTTTGGTGAGACAAGAATAGCAAAGAGTTGGCGGAGAGTGCTTCAGTATGCTTCAAACAGCCCTTTGTACAGCTTTGCGCGAAACTTATGAAACAAACAATCAAATCATTCTAGTTCAATATCCCGGTATTATATCATAACTGATGTGGATTATGAATAATTATTGAAATTATCAAACAGTTAATAAAACCTTTAGCTCAGTTTGTCGGTATCCCGGTATTGTATCATAACTGATGTGGATTATTAATGGCTGGAGACGGCTTAAATGGGTAATGAAGAAAAACTTTAATATAAGCTTAACATGACAGCAAATGTACAACGTTTCGACAAGGTTTTGTCATCATCAGGTACCCATTTAAGCCGTCTCCAGCCATTATTAGTCTCAAAGTGGGTTCCTCGTCATCGAATTTGATGTGGATTATGAATAATTATTGAAATTATCAAACAGTTAATAAAACCCTTAGCTCAGTTTGTCGGTATCCCGGTATTGTATCATAACTGATGTGGATTATGAATAATTATTGAAATTATCAAACAGTTAATAAAACCCTTAGCTCAGTTTGTCGGTATCCCGGTATTGTATTATAACTTGTATACATTATAAAGAATTGTCGATACCGTTCATCAGTTAATAACCCTCTAATCTCACTTTGACGGTACCCCGGTACTCTAACTATAAATAATTATCGACACTCTTCATTAATTAATAAACCTCCTAACTCACGTTGGTTTGTCTGCCGGTAGTGTATTATAACTAGCATAGGCTATAAAGAATTATCAGTACTATACATTAGCTACTAAGCCTCTATAACACAGTTTGGTTTGTCTGCCTGTAGTGTATTATAACTGGTATAGGTTAAAAAGAATCTATATAAATATAATACTATTGTATGTTCATGTAACTACTTCGCAGGGTGTGGATGGAGGTTCATTGGGTCCATGGGGAGATACAAATGTTTAGTTTTGCGGTTTTTATGGGCGTTTTTTACCACTACTTCGCCCCCTGTAGATGGATCTTCACCACATTTGGCATGAAAGTTTGTTGGATCCATGGGGAGATACATAAAAATGTTTAGTTTTGCATTTTGGATTTTTTACCATTACTTCGCCTTCTGTTGATGGATCTTCACCAAATTTATTATGAAGATTCAGTGGGTCCATGGAAAGATACATACAAATTTCCAGTTTTCCATTTTTTACCACTACTTCACCCCCTATTGATGGATCTTCATCATATTTGGCGTGGAGATTTGTTGAGTCCATGCGGAGATACATGCAAAATTGCGATTTCACATTTTGTGTTTAGCAGTTTTTATGAGCGTTTTTGTTTTTTTACAATTACATATAAGGGAAGCAACTTTTCATGTCCTAAGATAATCTTTCAATAATCATGAATTTACCCGTCCAGGGGACTGGTACACCAACTAGTTATAGATACTATACATTAGTTAGTGACTCATAACATAAGTTGGTTGATCTCACGGTAGTGTATTGTAACTTGTATAGCCCATAAAGGATTACCGAAATTATCTATGATTTAGTAAACCTCTTAACTCGTGGTGGGCGTGGCCTAGGTTAGCGTGACTGGACTATCATATTTAGGTTTCGTGTTTCGCGACTTGTTGGCATACAAACGCACTCCGCACATTAGGGCCGTGTGTACGCTTATAAATGCTAATTCATCACCTATCTCATCACACGAGCGTTGGCGGCGGGTGCTATTTACTTGTAGCAACTCTGAAACGAACACACTTACAATGTACAAAAGCTATTCCAAAGAAACAGGCTTTTGCGAAACGTTTACTTCTTAGCAGAAACGCTAAATTCAGAAATGAGATTGATGTAAAACAGGTGTTCGACGTTTCGCAAATGTAGGATAATGCAAAAATCACAATTTTCGAAACGTCGAACACCTTAAAAGTTTTAACTTGTGTCTATTTTAGCATTTCTCCATCGGCGTATCTCCATTTGTTAGAACTCGAAAATATTTGGAAGACTTCACTGAAAACCGACTTCTATAAGTGACAGGTTTAAGAACGCCATCTTTCGGAAATATACTCATCGAGTCTTGTCCTCTGATTTCTATACTG